AATCACAAGAAGAAATCCTAACAAAAACTATGATGAAAAGCATACTTTGCTGCAGAGACTTTTGCTTTTAGAACCAAAAAAAAACTGTATCCATTTCTCTCTCTCTCTCTGCGTGTGCTATATTCTTCCTCTCTTTTATACAAATGACCTTTTGATCCTTGCTACATAACCAAGGCATATCTGCATAACATTCCACTTAGCTCCAATACCGACATCAGAACCACAAACAACAAATGTTACTTTACTTGAAATAGAATTGTCAACATGCTCTCAAATGACAACAAACAATATTCAGCGTACTAAATTTCTAACTAACTGAAAATAAATCCTCCCCCCCCCCCCCCCCCCCCCCCTCAAATTTTTCTTTGCTTCTACCAAAAACATTGTACAAAAGACAAACAGAGAAGAGAGCAGATCTCACCATCCGATCAGTGTCAAGTCCAAAATTTTGTCAACTGATGTTTGCTGTTCTTGCACTTTGAGTGTCAAACTCTGCAGAAAAATGACACATACAGAGGAGAAACAGTAAGTACCAAACATTTGTATGCAATAAAGAAACTATATTAAAACAAGCAATACATTAAATATTGAGCGAGGAAAAATAAACAAACATAAATCTTATTTCAAAAGCTGTCTATTTATTCAGGCGAAGTGTCAAAACAATGCAAGTTAATTAGCAATACACACCCGCAGTTCCCCCTCCCTATACAAAAAAAATTACCATAAAGCATAGCAGACTGTAAGAAAACACAAAAAGACTAAGAATGAGATACCAAAACATTGTAAGCAAAATGACAAAAATCAACTTCTCAGAAAAATGAAAAAATAGATTAAATGAAAGCAAAATGGCCACCAAAAAAACCCCCAACCTCAATTAAATGTAAGAAAAATTATCAATAAAAGCTTCAGCTTAAAAGCAACCCTGATTTAATATGAACAAAAAAAAACACATTAAAAAAGAAAAGAAAAATCAATGTAAACAAAATGAAAGAAACAAACCATAAGCAAATAGACCTCTAAACAAAAGCACACAAAAATACTGACAGGCTACAAAAAGCTACTAAAAACAGTCCCCTTAAAATATCGTTAAGGAAACGCAATCATTCTGTGACAAACACAAAGCCACCGACCTGTACTTGAGCCCAGCATGCCTCCCACTCCAGCTCTCCCTTCACCCACCCACAGCTCTCGGCCAGTTTCTCCGCTGGGATGGGGGAGGGGTGGGGGCAACCAACTTGACCGGCGGCCTGCTGCTGCTGCTGCCCGGGGGTCACTCCTGGACACGACTGCAACACCAGGGAGAACTGGGCCAGGGCCTGTGACAGCTGAGTGGTCACTTGTTTCACTCGATTCTAGGGGTGGGGGTGGGGTGGGGGGGGTGGGGGTGGGGTGGGGGGGTGGGGGGGTTAGACACAGACATGCATTGGTTATCTGGCAAATCAGAGGTGAACTCATATTGGTCAAGTTCTATACATGTAAATATGAACTCATAATAGTCAAATTCTATATATGTAAATATGTAAGAAATTAGACACAAAGAAATTTTGCAATGTTGCACATATATATGTAGATATGTAAGAAATAAGAGACAGACAAATTTTGTAATGTAAAGGCAAATTAGAGACAGAGAGACATAATATTGGTAATGTTTTCAAGTAGCATATTAGAAACAAAGATATATTGGTAATGTTCTTTTTTATGGGAAATTAAAAAACAGGCACATAGTGATAATATGGCAGATAAAAAGAGAGTAAGACATATTGATGGTAATGTTTAATACTACAAACTTTAATAGCAAGATAAGCAATGAAATAGAGAATAACGAATACTACAAAGTAAAAAATGAATTATGATGACAACCATCTGTCCCCCGTCCCACCCCATAAAAAATCCAAACTAACTTACCACCCAGAGGAAGGCTTCTGTTTGAGGAGGTAAAGAAGAGACATTCAGGCCTTCCAAAGCTGACATCAGTTTTCTGAGAAAGATAACAGTAATAATAACAATAATAACAACAACAAAAAATAATCATTGTGATGACAACGAAGATGATGATGATGATAATAAAAAATTATAACAACAGTGAGGATTAACAGAAAAATAAAAATTATATCAATAACATGAACAATGATAATAACCAATTCTAACCAATTAAAAAAATCACAAGGAAGAGGAGAAGGAAAAAAAAACTTTGTTTCTAAACGGTTTTCATAATCTTTTTTTCAAAGTTCCAGTAAGAGTTTTACGGCGCTCGAAACCACATCAGGTCATATGAACGCCAGTAGACTTGAGGTGTTACAAGAGAGTAACAAACATAAAAAAGAAGAAGGGGAGATAAGGACAATAGTTGTTTCATAGGAAAGAAGAAGCAAACCACACCAGAGCACCCGCCAACCACCCACATTTTCATTTTCTCCAAGGACAAAATTTATTGAATACTATTTCAACTGAGACTGTAAAAAAGACACGAGTGCAGTGGTCACTCACCTCAGTGTCATGAAATGACCTGCGACCTCCGACAGGGTCATCCGGTGCTCAATGTACAGTTTGGAGAAATATTCCACGTAGCCGGTGCACCGCTGTATGTCGGCCATAGTCAGCTCCTGTATGTGGGAGGGGAAAGACAAAGAGGAAGATGTGTTGTCATGGAATAAGTTTGACAGAGAAGGGTGTAGTGCGTTGGTTAGAGTGTGTGTGTGTGTGTGTGTGTGTGTGTATGTGAGAATGAGTGTGTCTGAAAGAGAGAGATAAAGAAAACGGAGAGAGACAGAGAGACAGAAAGAAATGGAGAGACAGTGAGAGAGAGAGAGAAAGAGAGAGAGTGAGAGAGAGAGAGAGAGAAAGAGAGAGAAAGAACGAAATGGGGGGGGGAGAGAGAGAGAGAGAGAAGGGAGGGGGGAGGAAAAACAGAGAGAGCGAAAGAAAGAGAAAGAGACTCAATCAGCAACTAGAATAAAAAGACTACTACAAACCCACAATTCCCCATTTAGTTCAGCCTACCTTGGAAGGCGAGTGCATGGCACTGAGGAACTGAGCATGTCTGGAGATGCAGCGATAGTAGTAGTTCTGGCACCCGCTCCATAATCCACCGGTCGAATTTCTGAGGGAGAGAAGAGAAAAGACCAAGAAAAGCCATGACATTGGGAATCTGACCTAGTTTTGTGTATTTGAGTATGTGTGTGCGTGTGTGTGAGAGTGTTTGTGTGTATGTGCGCGCACGCATAGAGAGAGGGAGAGACAGAGAAAGAGACAGAGAAAGAAACAGAGAGAGAGAGAGAGAGCCAGAGAGAGACAAAGAGAGACCTTACACTTTCAATTACACAGCATTACATGAAAATGACTAGCATCGCAGCCTTTGTATTTGAAACTACATCAACAAAGATACAAAAAAAAGCAACTTTTTGCTATGGAAAAAGAAAAGTAAACCCCCCCAAAAATTTATAAAGCGCTCCATGACAAAATCATAAATCCAAATTTCTTAACTGACAAAATTGAGGAAGTATCATGCTCAATCCTAGACATATGGAAACAATGATAAAAAATAAAGAAATCTAAATGATTGGGAGAAGGACAAGGAGAAAGTCAGAATACACTGAAGAAGAGGAATAACTCATTTTCTTCCTTTCCAACACAAACCGGGTGGCCTTTACAATAGAACCCTTCTAATGTCTCCCACTATTCTAAACATAAGTCCCAGACTGCGTAAGTGAAAAAAATCTTGCCACTCACTTCTGATGGCTGTCTAAATCCAGCGGAGCAACTTCCAGAGCCTTCATTAAGGCAGAGTCAACACCTTTTGTCATTCCTTTCCGGTATGAAAGACCTGTGAAGCAAAGACGCATATTACAAAAATATAAGGACAGATGAGGGAATTTAAAAAACAAAAACAAAGTACAAATTTTTACAGATTGTAGGACAGCCTTGCAAGACAAAAAAGGCAAATCAAAATATAAATTAGATTAATACTTTCGAAGATGGAGCACAGAGTCCTTCATCACTTCATCAAGACGTAAGGCTGAAATGAAGTCTTCCGTGAAGGAAAAGGACAGCAGTTCAGACCACATACGGCAGTCTACAGAGTTCGTGCAGTGTTTGTCTTATATCAAATAAACTCCGGCGAGATTTTCATACCTGCTTCAGTACGTGACAAGACTTCATTGACAACAGGCTAAGCATTTTACTATTGTCTAAACAACAACAACAAAAACAACTGATAACAAAAGAGACGAATTTCAAAAGATGCACAAAAGGTTCACATCCCTAATCAGAACAAGTAAAAAGGTAAGACATATCTAAATCTGTCTGATCTCCAGTCACATGATTTCACTCACCAATCAGAGTCAAGTATTTGAAAAGCTCCGCCAGCCCCTTTCTCTTGCGCATGTCAATGGCTTTTGCCTCTGACTTTTGCTTGTCTTTCTCAGCACTCTGAGAGAAAAGAAAAAGTGTCTTGAGGTTCCAATATAAAGAAAAAAAACCCCAAAAGAACATCACACCAAACATCAAAAATACCAGTTGCCATGAACTTCCCTATTCTTCAGCGGTTGACCTCAAGCCACGTAATACTTTTCATTAAGTTTATATCAAGCAGGCATGAAAGTATAATTCAGACATTACTAGTATCATCACAAAATTTTTCAAGACAAGTACCTTTTGTTCAGTTTCAAATTATAACTTCATTCAGATACTTTGTTACCTTTTTGATTATGTAACTAAAATTTCATTCGGTTAATTAAATACAGTCAAACCTACTCTAATAAGCACCTGTCTGAGACAATCACCAGTACAAACGACCGTTCTCCCCTATTATTTTTTTCTAAATGATAACGACACTGTCCAAGAGGACCACCTGGTTTTTTCTGTGACAATGGATGGATGTCTTGGACAGGTTCAACTGTATTTCGTCTAAGAGTTAAAATTTCCCACGTTTCGCCTCTGAGGTGTAGCGCTGAGGTGATTCGCTGTCACATGCAGGAGATGTGAGTTGATCTCCGTGTGGAGAACAAATTCTTATTTTGTATCTCAGTCTATCTGTTGGGATATATCCTGCTCAGCCTGGTTGGCTCTGACAGGTAGGGTCAGAAGACTGTCTTCTAAATGATCTAAATTATATCGATGGGAGCGTAAAATCATTTTCATTTTATGATTTTAAAAAAACAAGAGTTAAAAAAATCCACCTACCATGTCCACCTGCAGGCCTTGAAGGTCGTGTATTTCTTGGATCAGGTCGCCTGGAATAAATCAATGGTTTAGAGATGTAGTTGTAGAACACAAGACACATCATCATCGACACTGTAAGACATTTTATTATTCGCTCCCATTATGCCACACAAAACTAATCTTATGAAGATTCCTTACCCAATGCAAATGTAAAACATTTATCACTCATGACCCCTGCAGGTTGTGCTGGGCTTCTCTCTCGACTTCGGAGTTTCTAATTCCTGAAACCTCATCTGACTTGCTGCCCACAAAGAAGAAGTCACAGTAGGCATCAAGTCATGTTGTGAATCTTCATGAATAAGAAATGCTGAAGCCAACAGAGACGCCTGCAAGCTGCACACATCCACAGGTGAAAATGAAGCTTTTAAAACTCAAAATAAGGAAACCTTTTTTTTTCTGCGAGAATTGGTCTCTTCGGCCAGAGCAACAGCCTCACATCATCTTATCCCTTATTTCTTTAATTTTGCTTGAGAAATATTCTCCTCTGCGATGCTTGGTTCATCGTAAGACATTGATTAACCAACTATTATTATTATTATTATTACTATTATTTTCATTGACCCTCTGAAAAAAACACCTGTCCAACCATTTCATTTGATATGCAGATTTTGAGCTATGAATTAGACAAAAACTGTATCTAATTCTTTCTTCTTCTTCTTCCAACAGACCTGAAACAATCATCAGTTATTATCAGTTAATTTGGTTTGCACAGATCTACATGTAATTACAACCAAAAAAGAACAACATAAGCAAAGGAAAACCTTGAACTCACCACAAAACTCGTCAAAAGTCACCACCATTCCCATCAAAGGTGACGATTTCAGCGACTTCTTCACATGTGTTCTGAGGCGACCAAACAACCTTGGCAACCGCGACAAGAGAGGCAACTCTTCCGACTGACCTTGGGTGAGGTCCTTCGTAGACGCAGCCTGAAACACGTGGCACGAGGGAAAAGTCCGAAATATTAAGGACGCTTATTATAGCTTCAAAGATTCCACAAAAAAAAATTACACTTTATGTTGGGCAAAGTCTCACATACATAGAAGAGCAGTAAAATAATAATAATGGTAAATTTCAGATATAAAGTGAATTTCAATGAAAGTGCTCAGCGTGTTTTACAATAATAATACAAATAATATGAGCACCACATGGTTCCAACAGTAATCCCCCCCCCCCCTTTCTACCACTCAAGGTGATAGGCTAAAAAAAAAACCCACAAAAAAACCCCACGTGTAGCTCTTCAGCTAGGTTGGAGAGTTATGAAAAAAAAAAAAAAAAGCAACAACAAACAGATACAGCATAACTCTTTCACACTATCTGGTTTAGAAAGCATAACAACAAAAAGCAAGGACAAAACAAAAACGGGCAGCATATACCTCTTTCAGACATCAAAGGAAACGACACTCCTCTTCTGCTGTCTTTCAGCTATGACCCCCCCGCCAAAGTAGAAACAGCACATTTACAAACTCCACGTACCTCTTTCACACTGTCGATTTGCTTCAAAAGTGTGGAGGTGAAGGCAGCGATCTTGTCTTTCAGCGGGAATCCAGAACTCTGCTCCACGGCCTGAACTACCAGGTTGTCTCCCTTGTCTCCCAGCAGACTCTGCACCGGTTGTCTCAGCACCGCCTGTAAAGGAAGATGTAGTAGTAGATGTTCTTGTGCCCCAAATGACACAGATCGTTTAACCCTATCTGTGCGTCATGTTTTACTATCATATCCATACGACGTCGGGAACTTTGTGCCATCACTTTCCAAAAAGGAAATTTACTCTACTGATTTTATATCTGGATTATTCTGTTGTCCAAGTGAACTGTATCATCAACCTGGCTCTGCTCTTCACTTCAGAACCAAAAACTCCACACCAGCGAAAAATGACTGATTCAATTATCTTATGAGCGTAACGATAGTGCATTTTACAGAACATGACAAACAACATTACTTGATACTCTTTGATGTGTTTGTGCACCGTGCGATGTGTTTTCTCGGTGGAACTCTTCAGGGCCCAGTAGTTCATGTCACTCCAGCGGGCAATCTTCACAAAACCCTGGGGGGAAAGAGAAGAGAAAAGAAAATAAAGGCCGTCAATGAGATCAGAAAAAGCATGAAACGATTCAATAAAAGATCACGTTCCGTTTTAGTATGCATTATACCACACTTGCAACACAATGAGGTCTGATAAGTGCCGAAGATTAGGGGTCTTACAAGAGAGTAACACATACAAAAAAGAAGGAAGAGAGTGAAGGACGATTATATATATAATGGCTTCTCATGACGACAAAAGTCAATACATTTTGTCTAAAAGATATACAAAATAAAAATGAAGGCCTAAAACAATAATGAAAGTGAATACACAAAATAAAGAAAATCAAGACATAATCGGAACAATGAAAATGAGGATAAAACAAAATGAGGAAACTGAAGATATGATAAAACAATGAAAATGAGGATAAAAGAAAATGATGAAATATAATAAAACAATGAAAATGAGGATAAAACAAAATGATGAAATATAATAAAATAATGAAAATGAAGATAAAACAAAAAGGTGAAACTGAAGATAAAAACAAAACAATGAAAATGAGGATGAAATGAAAAGATGTAACTGAATATACAACAACAAAACAAATTAAAAGAGGAATATACAACATGCAATGACACCAGAACGTACCTTGAGTTGTTTCTCTATGGGTGCCCTCAGCTGTTTGATCTGGGTGAGCACAGCCTCCTCAAACTGCCCGTAGAACCGGTTCACATTCCACAACATGTGCATCAGTTGTCCTGGATAATAATAATAGATAGCATTTGTATAGCGCAAATCCCCGCTCAACAGCAAGCTCTATACGTTTCACATTCAATACTATTACCCAAGCAGACCTGGGAGCATTCTGAAACAAACTCAACTTCCAGGGAAGCATGCAGTGCCAGCAGCCTTTTATAGGCGCTAAAACACTAACATACTGACAAGATCTTTCGCTGTCTATGGCTGGGTACCCATTCCCACCTGGGTGAAGTGGGGAAAATTCGTGTGAAATGCCTTTCTTAAGGACACGTCGGGCCCGCGGCTCGAACCCCTGACCCCGCAACCTCACGATCACGAGTCAGGTAGCCTAACCACTAGACCACTGACGCCATTTACAGTACAGCACAACAGAAAGTAAGTCCTTGACTTGTCAGCTTTTAGCCTGTCTATCTATACCTCTCACAGAAAGTCTGTCTGGCTCTCTCTCTTTCTTAGCTCTCTCTCTATGTGTATATACATCTCTCTCGTCCGTTTCTCTCTCTCTCTCTCTGTCTCTCTCCTCTCCTCTCTCTCTCTCTCGGTTTATCTATCTACCTGTTTATCTGTCCGTCATTCTCTCTGTATCTTTCACTCATGTCCAACTGTTTCTTTCACACACACACACACAGACACACAAATATTCAATAGGCAATTCAGGTGCCTCTTCTTCTTCTTCTCTCTCTCTCTATCTATCTATCTCTCTCTCTCTCTCTCTCTCTCTCTCTCTCCCACTTGCTCCCCCTTTTCTCTCGCTTGCTCCCCCTTTTCTTTCACGCTTTCTATTCATCTTTCTCCATATCTCTCTCTCACTTTCTCCTTATGACTCTCCCTCTCTTTATGACTCCCTCTCACTCCCTCTGTATTACACACATATACACGTGACTCACGTTGGTTCTCCGAAGCCTCCATATTGAGCAGCTGACAGTGGAAGGCCTGCAGCATCCCTAGCCTCACTGTGTACTCCCCTAGTGTGGAGCTCTCCATAAACTTCTTCAGTGAGGTCAGAATGTCTTGACTGGAATCCTCCTGAAAGAACATGTTTTTTAGATATGTTTTGAGTAAATATACTCAAACTAAAACATAAACAGACACAATTTTGAAAGAAAAGATTTTTGTTTTAAGAAGTAACACCTATGTATAGTAATGTTTCCCCAGCAACTTTTCAATAATAAGTAATTAAGGAAATTAAAAAACTTAAAGAAGTTTAGGTAAAGAGAAGCACATTAACTCACTTCAGACGGGTCACACAACAGTTGCGTGACCCCCGCCGCGACAGCTCCCACAAGCCCTGCGTGACCAACTTTGCAATTTTTTTTTTGCTCTACAAATCACGCACGGATCGCGAGACCCGCCTTGTACCATTGTTTGGCCAAGCCTGAGCTACTTAGACTTCGTTTCATATCTCTGGTGCCCGAAGTTTTTAAGTTATTGAAGGTGAAGGACAGTGACCCCAACTGAGGTTGAACTGACCGGAACTCGCGCTTTTTTTTCTTCTATACAGCTGATAGTAATCCAACAGTCGCGTCGTAGTAACGGTCGAAGAAGTTGCACGAACAAGAATCACATAATTTCGCCCTTTTCGATACTTCTGTACGTTTTACTAGTTCTAGTGTCTCAGAATATGATGTGTCTGATAGTTAGGACCCTGGATATGTACCCGAACACGGCCCGAGTCGTAGTTTTAGGGCTAGATCTAGCACTAGTACTGGTGTTGTTGTTCGCGCAACGAAATCACAACGTCGTGCCGTACATCTGTCTCATGTAATTCAGTGGATGGGTCTGAATCAACGCGCAGACCAGCTTTTATATTTTCACCACACTCACACATGCATACAAATCAAATTACAACACTTCGAACTTTTATTTTGGTTGTTGTTGTGAATTTCATTCCATCTGTCATGTCTCTGGAAATTTTTTGGAAAATCAAATTCATGCCAATTTTTTAAAAATCATACAAATTAAAGTATTAGACTAAGACAACTTTAGTTTTTTGTGTTAGATTAAGCTTGAATGTTACTTCACTGGATCAAAAAATAATTACAATAGGATAATTCTGAGAGTTGTGGTGATTTATTGAGATACTCCGAAAAACGCCAGTCTTCAACACTTGTGACTGGTGAAAGGGTCCAGTAGCAAGTGAGTTAACACAAAGTTTGTCATTTACTACACAAAAAAAGGCAGAGTGGTTGGGGTGAATTTAGGCTCCCAATAATGTCAAGCACAAGTCGTGGACACAGCGTTAATGTGAATGGTCATTGGGGGTGTATCTTTCTGCAAGACACGATAAACATAGCTAAAAGAAGCTGGGTGCTGCACAGTGGAGGTCAGCAATGGCGTGTTCGTGAAAATTGTCTGCATTGGTGTGATATTGTGTATTCAGTAACTTTAATAAAATAATCTTTTTACATATATTCGTGTGCTTGAGAGTATATGTATCTAGGTATTCATGTATGTTTGATGGTATATATGCATACATACACACATGTAACCAAAATTTCCTCCGCTTTCAATAGGACGCATTTGGTCTATCATATATTTATTTATTTACATACCATATCTAATCTACAAAAATGAGTTTCTCTTTAAAAAATTTGCCATTTCTGGCAAAATTTTCACAACACAACAAATCCCCTCTGATAGGAAACAAAAGGAAAAATGTTAAATTTCAATTTTAAAATTCTTTTAAAAACATCCTGCGTCACAAAACATGCTACTGACCTGACCGTCTGCTGCCGGCTCTGTCAGTCGACCAGCCAGGTGATCAGAAGTCAGCTGATACAGGTGGAGCCACCACTGTGTGGCCTTGACCTTGCAGTTCTCCTCCTCTGTGTCTAGAGCACTGTTCCAACAGCTGTGATCACAGTGTGCAAAGATTGGGGGAGGTGGGGGGGGGGGGGGGGGCAGAGAGAACAAAACAGTGAGAAACATGAGGAGAAAAAAAACCCAGCAACCCCCTGACAGTGTTTCTGTGGGTTAGTTCGAATAATGAGAAGCACACAAACACAACAACAGTCATTTACTACAAGGTCAAAAAAACAAGATGAACAAGTAACAAAGGGAAAGAAAAAAAAAGGCCGGACCTTCTAGTAGACGGATGGAGAAACGTGATTAAAAAGAACTGTCCTTCTAGGGAATGGAGCTCATGTCTAATGTATGCAATGGAAAAGAGCTTAACTGCTACACCGTAGTAGCCAAATGACAAACATGTACTTTAATGTGTGTGTATGTATAAAGAAACACAAACACATACAACCAAATACTACAACAAAAGAAGCCTGTACTGCCCTAAGCTGACAAAACATGTCTTTTCATTTTTTTAGGTGCCAAATTTGTTTTCATTTATTAAATTGATAACCTGATCAGTTACCCTACTTGTGAAAAAAACTCAAAGTGAAATGAGACTGACAAATTTTAAAATAAATTATAATTCAAATTTCGGAAGAACGTTTTTATTGGTTACACTGACAAACGGCCTTTTTTCTCGAAACTACAGTGAATTTTTAAAAAAGGCGTTTTGTCAACGTACGACAGTGTAGAGGCTCACCTCAACTCCAGCTTCCTCCACTGCACGATGACCCTGGTGATCTCCGTCAACCACACAGACAGCGACACGTGCGACGCAGCGTTACTCTCCCACTCCTGTGGGGACACAAGGGACAGGTAAACAAGAAAGCTCTTCTTTTCAATTAAACATGCTACTTAAAAAAACCCACCAAAATCCCCCCAAAACACTATCCCCCCTCCCGCCTCCCCACAAAACAGCCAACCAACCAAACAAACAAAACAAGGACAAAATATGCCACTCTAAGGGCAGTCCCCACCTCACACAGTAGGACTTCAAGGGGTTCTCCTTGCACTAAGACTTGTGATTCGCAAAAAGTAAAATCTTCATCTTTTTCTATTGCCGGTATCACACTCTGGATCCCCAGATTGAAAAGCGAACACCATACCTAGTGAACTACTGAGCTCCCTACTAAGTACATGATATTTTTTTCTTTCTTGGCAGAAGGGGAAAAGCAAACACCCGTTGAAATACTTTCTGAACTAGGTATTACATTTTTCCAAGATATCTATCTATCTATCTATCTATCTATCGGGAGAGACAGAGACAGAAAGAGAGAGAGAAAAAAGAGAAACCGAGAGGGAGACAGAGAGACAGAGAGAGAAAAAGTAGTGAAAAAAATAAACTGGGAATTAAGAAAAGAGAGAGACCTGAGCTTTTTCCAGCAGCAACTCCAGCCCTGTGAGGAACTTGACCACTGGACAGCTGACGGGGAAGGACAGGATACGGGTCATGACCTGCTGCAACTGTGGACAGACAGGAGGAAAAAAACTTCTCAAACCTTTTTAAAAAGGTTAAAAAAAAAAAAAAAGAAAGAGAAAGATGAAAATTTCTCCGAGAAGAAAAACAAATGCAGCAAACAGCTTTCAAATTTGATTCAATAATAAATATTTTTATTAGTAGAATAAATAAATAGACAAAAAAGTAGTATTTTTCTGCATCAACACACGATTACTGAGCAAATAATGGAGTCAATTGCCAATACATACACACAATACATGAGAGGGACAAATGAACTGCAAATCAAATGTTTTTGAAAAAAAAACCCCAAACTTAGTGGGATTATGCTACATCCTGGGTAGGCGGACTGAACATATATCGAGGAGACTGAACATATATCGAGGAGACTGAACATATATGCCATTATACTTGCTTTCACAAAAGGACTATTCAAAGGTTCAAGCAAAAGAGACAGTTCCCATTGGACACAAACAGATCAGGTTCGACTGTAGTTTTGCTATAAATTGGCTTGTTCGTCTCACCAGGATAAGAGTGGGGTGCTGGGGCCACTCCTTCTGAAGTTCATCCACTCGGACACGGAGGCCGTCAATCACTGGTCGGCATTTCATCACTTCCTGAATGTTGGTATCGTAGTAGAAGTTGTAGCTTTTCTTTGCCTTGCCACAGCTGAATGATGGTGGAAGTAGCTGCTGCAAGGACAGAAAGAATAAAGACATCATTATTGTTATCTTTATTCTTCAAGAGATGTAGTAGCAAACTGCTGTCCAAAATGATGTCTTCAGTTTACAGAGGATATCAATCTACTCTTTCCTGTTAGTCTAACTGCTTGCTGGACAAAATAAATGATCTATTAAACTATCAGAGCCCATACTAAAAACTTTGACTGAAACAAAATGAAAGGAGAACAATAGATGCATTACAGCAGAATGCCTAAGAGGCCTGTGCATTTACGCAGGAGATTGGGGGAGGGTGCTGAAAAATTACGCCCAAACTCACCTGTTCCACAGAATTTGAGTCCAAAGACTCCAGATACTGAGACATGCTCCCAGCTACTAGTAGGTGAGAACCCATGATCTCACGGTCAGCCTCACAACCTGGACAGGGGAACATTGGACAGAAACAAAAGATAATCTTATTAAAAGTCAAACACAGTAAAACAAGACATCCCAGTCAGAGATGAGGTAGGAAAAGGCGGTGGCGATGGATTGGACGTACTCTCAAGAAGTCAGGCAGCTGCATAACAAAGAAAGTTTTGGATTGGAATCCACAGGGTAAAAGATCAAGGGGAAGACCTACCGAGTAAAACCTGAGAAGAGTCACAGAAATTGACGTACAGAAAAGTGGGTATACATGGAATAACATCAAAAGGCTAGCCCAGGATAAAGAAAGGTGGAAAATGTTTGTTCGTGGCCTATACCCTGATGCAGGGTGAGAAAGGCAATGATGAGGATGATGATGATAACATAGTATATGCAAACACACAAACATTTTTAAAAAATCAGTACATGAAAATTTTCTTCTCTGTGCAGAATTGTTTGCTTCGTTTTAACCCTCTGAATCCATTATCTTGGGAAACCAGCCCAAGGTGTATCTCTCTCTATCCTGCGAGGCCAGTGCACCTGTGGCTTACAACATTGGAGTTGTACAGGGACGGGGATTTGGGAAATGACAACATCAAGGGTTCAAAGGGTGAACAAGCAAGCAAGAACCTTCACATTTCTTCTGAAAAAAAAGTATCCCAGGATGGGTTAAAGAAGACTGACCCCAAAATGGTCCTAGTTGTGATGACATGGGCATAAAACATTAACAGCCAACTTTAAAATGCAAAATCATGTGAACTCACCAGATAATAATTTAAAGAGACAGGACAGGATTTTTGCAACACTCAACACTTGAAAGTTAAATTTCATGAACAAGATACTGCAAAAGCACTGCCAATACCATGAGCATATTTTTAAGGGTATGTACATAAAAGCTAGACACCTGCCTCAAGTTTAAACGGTCACATAAAAGCACTGTCACACATTCCCTGGCCTTGAACTTACAGCCCTTATATAATCACTTCCTTCTTTTTACTTTTAAATAAGTGAAGGAAAGAAAAATAAACTAAAACAAAGTGCTTTCACAAAAAAATGGCAATCAGTTAAACAATCTCTCTTTTGCATACCCAGCAAACTGTAGTGTCGTTTGACCAGCTCCGAGCCCAGCTGATAGGCCAAAAGAGCCGGGGAGAGGAGGTCACACTGCACCAACCCCTGACCCCGAGGGAGGTCGGTCAGCCAGTGGGCAGAGGTCAGGGACGTGAACAGTTCCTGGTGGATTCGGCAGGCCGTGACAATCTCTGCGCTGGAGATTTCCTCAAGGGACACAACTCGCTGGTCTTCAGCTGGGACCTCGGCCTCCTGTCCAACATCTTCTAGCCGGTCCGCCCCTGTCACGTCCACGAAATCCTGAGAAAAGTGTATTATTTCGTTTGAGTGACTTCAAATGAGGAAAAAAGGCCACTGAATTCATCTTCACTTTCTCATATTTTTTTTCCTAAAAAAATAAATGATTTATTTAATATCTTTTTGGTTTTAGGAGGGGGAGTTTGAATGAAGAGAGCACAGGACATCACACAATAAAGGTCATTTAGAACAGGGAAAGAGTAAGATACACAAACAGAAACAGCAAAATAAAAGGTACTGTTTTAATGCTGCATAACTAACTAAAACACCTGTTCCAGCACCATAAGATCTTTTATGAGGCATTGCCTCAACAACTGCAAGGTTTTATCACAACCTTCTCTTAGTTTTAGTAAGTGTTTTACTGCACTTGCAACACAATACGGTCATATACGTGCCGAAGATTAGAGGTGTTACAAGAGAGTAACAAACACAAAAAAAGAAGGAGGGGAGATAATGACGATAGATGATTGACAGGAAAGAGGAAGCAAACAACACCAGAGCATCTGCCAACCACCCATCAACCTTCTCTGTGACTAAGACAGCTGTAAAAAATCAAAACCCCTATACTTACTTTGTCAAACGTCGGATAAGCAGCCTTAAACTCGGCCTCCTCTCTCTCTGCCTCTGACCTCTCGTCGCCATGGGTCTCCTCCTTGTAACGGAACAGCGCAGCCTTCTCAGCCTCCCGTTGCCGGCGACGATTCTCCTGGGCCGTCCACGCCTGAGCGAAGAGGTCAAACACCCGGAAAAGCCCAGCGGTCAGTCGGGCGTCCAGGCGCTGGCTACTGGAGCAGTGAGCCCTCATCAGCCAAAGCACACAGATCAGCAACCTGTTAGAGTAAAACAGTGTATATTATATCACAGATCAGTAACCTGTAAGTATAAATATTTTGTATATTATTATGTCACAGAACAGCAATCTTTCAGCAAAATAATGTACATGTCAAATGTTGACAACCTTTCAGCATTAAAATTAAATAAAACCTTTTTCCTGTATGAGCAACTACCAGTAACTAATGACTCGTACAAAAACAACAGAAGGAAAGAAAAAAAATGACCTAGCAGTGGTGCCCTCCAACCACCTCCACAACTTGCATCAACAAAACAGACAGACAATAAAAGCGTAGCTGTGACAGACACTCACAGCTGAGTTCTTTGGTTAGTCTAAATAAGAGTGTTCACGCACTTGTAGCACAAATAGCAGGTCACATAAGTGCTGAAGAATAGAGGTGTCATTGAGAGAAATACACCCCCAAAAAAAGGAGGAGAGATAAGGACGATGGATGTTTGAAAGGAAATAAAGAACAAACAACACTTGAGCACCCACCAACCTGAAGAAGACACCCTCACCCCCACCCCCAACCCAACCCATCCCCCACCCTACCTACCCCCCAAACCAAAACCCAACCGATCCCCCTAACCTACCCCCCCCCCCCAACATACCTTGATTTGACCGCGTCCAGTGGCACATTGACAGCACCAGTGCCACCTTTCTGGATCTCCTCTGTGTGGAACACTGAGGCCAGGCTGTTGTGAGTGGAGGTCAGAGACAGCTGGGTGGCCAGGGTCAAGAGGTCAGGGGTCACGGCATTGACGCTGGGGAAGCTGCATAGGCTGACCACCAGTCTGTTGAGGGTGAGCACTCCACCCAGCTACAGGAACACAGAGAGTGAGTGAGTGAGTGAGTGAGTGAGTGAGTGAGTGAGTGAGTGAGTGAGTGAGTGAGTGAGTGAGTGAGTGAGTGAGTGACAGAGTGATTGAGTGATTGAGTGAGTGAGTGAGTGAGTGACAGAGTGAGTGAGAGATTGAGTGATTGAGTGATTGAGTGAGTGAGTGAGTGACAGAGTGAGTGAGTGAGTAAGTGACTAACTGATTGATTGATTAATTGACTAATTGATTGATTCATTGAGTAATTGACAGATTAAGTGACTAACTAATTGATTGACTGACTGACTGATTGACTGACTGACTGATTGATAGATAGATAGACTGACTGACTGACAAACTGATTGATTGATAGATTGATTGATGGATAGATTGTTTGATCGATAATTTGCTTAACTGCATCATCTACACAATTTGGTAAAATAAGCCTCGCATTGTGATTTGGAATTCCACCTTAATTTCTAGTAACGGAAGATTAAAAAGTTCACAGAGATATACGACAATTGTTCTACTTAGAAGTAGTAGACCCATATTCTAAACTAATTCAGGATAATAATAACCACAATTCACCTAAATCAAGATTCTTTTCTTTGTTTTAATTTTGAAATAATGAGAAGCACATTGACACAATAATGGTAATGTAATGCAAAGGCTAATTTAACCCTCATTCTACATCAATTTCACCATCTACTTTACAGGAGCAACAAATCACACTATCATCCTCACCTTCCTTGACTTGAGCTCACACTCCACATGATGGGCCATTAGTCTCAGCCCATACTTCACCTGGAACGTCCAAAATATTACAGTCAAATAACCGGTAAAAAAGAATTAAAAAAATTCAGTGACCAACAAACGACACCAGACACCAAAGAAAATAAACAAATATAATAATAATAATTATAATAGATAGCATTTATAAACAAATATACAAGCATAGTATTTCCCTGCCATATTGTAGTTCACTTTTCGCGGACATCGTACATCACAGTTTTTTGCTTGCCGAAAATAAGAAAATAATGAATGCTCTATAGACACACTATTGGCTGAGACGTTACCAACTATTATTATAAACAAATACATACAAATGTTTCATTCTTTAAATACCATTGGTCTCTCATACTCCAGGTGTAGAAAGTGTTTATAAGTGGCAGAGGTTTATAAGAGTGCAGGGAGGGTTTATAAAGGCATGAAACATGTAATAAATATATCATTTTTTCTTTAAGCACTTCCCTTTATCGCAGGAGATTTTAGATCGAGACATCAGTCATATTTGAGGGCACACTGTATTTTAAAAAATACAGTAGTAAGAACATGATGAGGTCCAGCCCCTGGGGTGTAACAACAGTCAGGCTCTTCACTGTCGGACTCAGATGACATGAGTGGGAACTTTTTTTTTTCCGAATATTTCCTGCTTATCTGCTAGGACTTTGTATCCTTTTCAGCTCAAGTTGCCCTGACAGGCAAATAGTCCGCCCACCTCCTAAATGATCTAAATTGTGGCAGTGGTGGCATATAACATTACAAAAAATAATTTCAATAAAAATTATCAGGAGAACTCTCTGCCATTACCTGGTGTATTGCAAGGTGCACAGGGCACAGCAAGTCGCGATACAGCGGGAACTTTTGCTTCAGCTGACGCAGGAAACGCTGCGCACTGTCCTGCCACACCTTCTCCTCCTGCAGGGCAGTTGTCAGTGTTGTCTCTGCCGTTGGAAGGTCGTCGCGGGTGAATGACGACAGTTTGTGAGTCAGATCCGTAAGGCGAGACAGCGATAGACTACTGTCCAGGAACCCACTCACAGACTGGCACAACTCTTTGAACTGAGAACAATACAGGTAGGACGGGGGTTGAGTAAAGAGAGGCAATGTATTAGCAAGAGTTTTACAGCACTTGCAACAAGGTTATATAAGTGTCGAGGACTAGAGGTACTACAGGAGAATAACAAACACAAAGGACAAGGAGGAAAGATAAGGACCATAGATGTTTGACAGGAAAGAAGGAGTAAATCACATCAGAGCACCCACCAACCACCCACTAAAAAAAAAAATCATATCGGCACAATAAATCAACAGCACTGTAAGAGTAAGATCTTAACAGTCAATTACTCCTCCCTGAACTCTAACAATGGTGAAGGAAAAGGAAAGTCACAATAATTAATAAATAATAGTCATTTATTGTGCAGAAGAGCAAGACAGAAGAGATGTGCAAGACAGACGGAAGAAGATAGAAAGAAACAACACAAAGGAAGTTTCAAAAGAAGGAGTACGACCTGCAAGTGTTGCCCTCCAGCCATCCACATCACCATCAAGAAGTTTTAACACTTTTCAACTTCTCTAAGAGTAAGTTTAGTTATAAAAAAAAACAAGAATGAAAATGTGAGGCATCATGTTGAAATCTGGCAGAACACCTTTTATGTCCATTAAAAGACACATTTCTGTGTGGGTTTTATCGAAAAATGTTGATCAACGGCACAAAAAATGTAAATTTACAGTTTCAAAGGACACTCAAGATTTGAAAATCACCAACATTTCGGGGCCATTTTTTACCTAATTTTACCTCTGACACCAGGCGACACCCAATCTTCTTCAATCGCAAATATCACTACTTCTTAACAAGATAGAAGGGTATTATTTTTTTTCATAAAAAAAGAGGCAAATGTCTTGGCTTAAGATTCTATCCAAAATTTTGCGTGCCCAAAAAATTGACAAGTACCCGATTCCACCGTGTTGTGACACAAATAATATTGAAAAAGATTTCTTTCCAGATAATTGAATGTCACTCTTTCTTTTCTCATTTCTCTCTCAACCCCTCCATCCCTCTCTCTCGCTCTCTCTCTCTCACTCCTCCTTCATCCCTCCTACCTGTGAAGGCTCAGGCCTGTACGCCTTCCTCTGCTCCAGCTTCGCCCGAGTCTTTTCCAGCTGTTCCCTCCTGTCACGTAGACGTCGGATCTCAGGATGAACATGCTCAGTGGGCGTGTCAGCTAAGCTCCGCCCACATCTGAAGGTCAAATAGCTGTCCCAGGTGGATAAACGGACATCAATCTCCTCAGTCTGTACAAACAAACAAGAATTATTTTAGCAAATCGCGGGAAATGTCACGCACAACAGGGGAATGAACACAGTGCAATCATATCATTAACTGCAACAACCGAATTGTACAAAGCAGAAAAATACAGAGAAACGATTTGCTTTAAATGGCATAAAACTTTTATAGACAAAATCATAGTTAGTTTTATCTGGATCAGAAAAGTATAGTTAGTTTTGCATAATGTCATATGAGCGTGCGAATCACTAGTTGGTTGCATTCACAACAGCTCACAGCACGGCTTGGTTTTAGTCAAAGATCAAATTAAATGGTTTAAAATTTTATGATTACGTTGATTTAAAAGTAGATGAAATACTGCTAACAACATCACACAACAGACAAAGAAATAAGTATCTGCAACTCACCTCATTCAGAACATGCTGCAGTTTGAGGCCAGCCTTCTCCACAGGATCCACCGGTCCACGCGGGGCCAACATGTGAGCCTGGAGCAGCCCGGTCAGTGCCATAGCACGCCCGACATCTGCTGACCTCTCCCTCTCACGTCCTTTGGCACTGCCTTCCCCACACGCTTTGCGCACCGCGTCAATACAGCAGCGCACCGTGGATGCGGATCTGAGGCTGGTCATCGAGCCCAGCAAGTTGTCATTGTCTACTGTCTGGAGGATATGCTCCCATATTTGGTTATTCTGAACGGCTGATGGGGTGTAGGCGTCTAGCTGTGTTGACATGGCAACCCAGGCAGCCTGTTGTTCTGGAGGCGCGTACAGCTGCAGGAGGCGCAGCAGTTTGATGAAGGAGAACCACAGCAGATGCAGTTCTGTTTGCCTGAAATATTGAGGGACCAGAAGGAAAATGTACACACGTATACGGCAAAAAAAAACCCAATAAAAAATAAACAAACAAATAAAAACAACTTCCTGCTTGTTTGTCTCTTTGGAAGTCTTTATTTTTATGCAAGGAACCAAATGGCTGCTCAAGGTCTAGAGGTCAGTTCAAAAGTTTTCTTTGCACTTGCTTTGCTTTTCTGTTAACCAACCTTTAAAAGAAAAAAAATCAAAACAAGATAAAGCAGTCATCATCTGACACTACTTATTTATCCTGCTTATTTATTCTAGATCTCATGCAGAGTTGACAAGCTTCAATCAATGTGAATTTTCTTTTTAAAATCTTTGTGCTAAAGGAACAATCAAAACAAAGAGACAATGAAAAGGACTGTATCATCAGTGTGATTTCGCCCACAAGCGCCCAAGTTATTTTTTAAAGTTTTGAGAAAAATAAAGTAAAAGAAAATGACCAAGTCAGACCAGTGACTTGGGCACTTGTATTTTAATTAAGAATGATGAATGAAAAAAATAATAAAACAGACATTATAGAACTGTATTGTATGATGCCCTCTGATGTCTTTATTTGTCTAAAAGATTCATCTGGAAACTTCTAGAATTTGATTCCGGGGATTGTGCAATAACCCTGACGATACGTCTTCAGCCTGTGTCATCTAAAAGCAGAACTTTTCTTCTTAAAGCATCAGGTCTGAAACAGACATCCATGACAGTGGTTGGCAAATCATGTCTCTGCTCAGAAGTTCTCAAATCAAAACCTCTGAACAAGCAGATAGTTTTTTCACTGATTAAAAAAAGGAAGCCTAAAAGAAACCATGAACAAACCTGACGTCGTAGGTCTGACATCCCAGAACAGGACCGTGGCACCACACGTGTCTCGCCACGCCCGACACACTCAGACGCTCCTCCTTCAGCTGACCCAGATGCACTTCCAGGGGAAGTAAGTCCGTCACAGTCCTCAGCCTCGGCCCGCTCGCCAGCACTGTCATGGCCGATCGGGACAACGAGGGCTGGTGCAGGAATGCCGGACCCTGGACGCAGAAGTGATGAGTTTAGTTTTATGTTTTTGTAAGTGTTTTATGGCACTTGCAACACAATAAGGTTGTATAAGTGCCGAAGATTTAGAGGTGTTATAAGAGAGTGACAAAAACAAAAAAGAAGGAAAGGAGATAAGGACGATAGACGTTTGATAGGCAAAAAGGAGCAAACGACACCCGAGCACCTGCCAACCACCCATGAGAGAGTTTCAGTACTTTTGAGTTATCAACACATTAATAGTCATTTAGTGCAGCGAGTAAAGAAAAGATCATCAAAACATTAACAGTCATTTAGTGCTGAAAGTAAAGACAAGTACATTGACTACATAACTGTCATTTAAAGCTGAGTGAAAAGAGAAGAATATCGACACACATACAGCAATACATACATACATATACAGACACACGCAATACATACCCACATGCAAACATTTACAATACATACACACACACACACACAGAAATACAATCCATACAAATACATATGCAACAAACATGTATACAGGTGCACATATACAAATGCACACACTAGACAGAAAGACTCTGCTACAGGAGTGACTATGAAATCATGCCAGCCTTTCCTTACAACGAATGCAAAGCAAAGCTAAGCATGCTCTCACAGCAATTTTCAGCAATCTTAAATCTAGAATAGAAAAAAAAGAGTTTGCAGGAAAGAACACTTAACAGCCTATATTGGTAGCCCCACACTCACAAGGTCTTCTTTTTCAAAAGATGGTTCTTCGTCTTGCCCACTCCAGTTGAGCCAGAGAGTTGGGTTATGTGAAGCTTTGCACGCCCACAGCAGTTCAAAAACATCCTGAAGCTTGAGAAAACTTTGCACCTGGAGAAAGAACAAAGATAAGTTTAAGACATCATAAAGTTTGAAAACACAAAAGTTGATTAAACAAATCGACACAGACCACCTGATAGACAGAAACAAAAGAGAGAAAGAAAAGAGTACAATCTACCAGTGGCCCCCTCCAACCATCTGCCGGGTCTTTTCAGATATACATTTAACTGAAACGAATTCAGTTGAACAGTCACTTGCAGCAAATCAGCGTAATAACAGCCATATTTTTCCCAGGAAACAAATAAGGACAACCCCCCCCCTCCATTTTTCAGAAATAAGCTTCACAATACATAAAGTGTTGATGAAAATCACCGGTGTCCTAAAACAACTTACTATAAGTATAAGACAATCACCTATACAAACAGCCATTTCCCATTTCCCCCTTTGCAATATTTTTTTAACATTACGATGACACAAAACAAGACGGCCACCCTGTCTAAGAAAAGACAGCCACTTTTTTCCCTGACAATTGGAGGGGGGGGGGGGGGGGGGG